TCAATTGTGGAAAAAATAGTCTGAACGGTTTAGCCACTAGCGTTGTTACACGACGGACGGACGGACGAACGGACGGACGGATGGACAAACAAACGGTCGGACGAACAGCCGGACGGGCGGATGGTCGGACGGGTGGACGGACGGGTGGACGGACGGGCGGACGGACGGGAAGGCGGGCGGGCGGACGGACGGTGGGACGGGCGAAGGGGAGGTTGGGTAGACGGGCCGAAGAGCGGACGGACAGGCGGAGGGAAGGACCGACGGGCAAACATAAGTTTCGTTTTTGCGGTATCAAGGTCCTGCAAAACATGGATTCTAGCTACAACACGTGTTAAAGGATTTGTTTCAAAATTTGCAACTGAATTTATCCATTTTTTCTCCACCAGGGCGCTGTAATAAGAATTTTTCTGCCGCAAATTCACCATTTTTTCACACATATGTCTCTCTCCGCACCGAAGCGGGAATATAACACCAATGTTCTAGAAGAGTCTAGTAGGTGCTTAATTTAAGCACATACACTTGCAATACGTAATTTCGTTATGAAGCATACTTTAAAAAAATATTTAATTACTGATACTTTCTCATATAACTTTCTAAATACTACGACGGACAACACAGCAAACTGTATAACGATATTTTATGAAAATTGAACTTGCTTTGCGCAAAGAAAAGTGAAAATGGTCATTCTTCGCTCGCAGGTCAGCGCTTCGCCATGCTGGAGATGAAGAACGTGATCGCGAAGCTCGTGTGGAACTTCCGAGTGCTGCCGGAGCCCGGGTTCGAGCCCTCGCTGGTGTGGGAGGTCATCCTCAAGTCGGAGAACGGGCTCTTAATTCGTCTGGAGGAGAGACAGCGGGAGTCGAACTGAAGTCTCCAGGCTCCGATAATCTTCACACCCCATCCCGCGCAGTATTTAGACGAGACAACCGACGACGTGACGCAAACAATTGCTCTGCGCCGGAATGGTGAACAATCCAACCGATTAACTTGGAACCAAGAGATTCAACTTAGTTATTAGCACAAAAAGTCGGATAGCAACTGGAAAAGCAATTAAAAGCAGCGATAAGTGATTTTTAGCAAAGTGCATGATAGTGTGGAATAAAAATGTTCTAATTCATCACAGTCTTATTTATTTCAGAACAAATTATATACACTATTATTCCTTATCATAGTACTAGTAAAATGTGGCGTCACCAACGCTCTAAACTGTTTTAAAAAAGTTTCATGTGTTGAAAATTTGTTAAAACCCGTCTTTGTTCAAATATATTTCAGTACCATACACTGGACTTACCAATGAATCGTAGTAAGTGATTATGGTATACTCCCGTTCCAAAGTTCCAACACCCACTGGCATTGTGTGCTACCTCCATAAGGGATATGAACTGATCTTTCTGCAATTTCAAAATTATAATCACGGCAACGAATGCTTGCAGGTTGTCATGCCAATAGTAAGGTACATTTTAGTACAGCTACATTTTTACACCTTTTTGCTAATGCACAAAAATGCACATAGCACATTTGCATTAGCCCAAATGATAAATGCAAAAATGCAGATTATTGCCAATTAGTTCCGAAAATTCTGTCAACATTTTTACAACATTTAATTCTTCCCTGAATTTTCTGAACACTTCCATATTTTTGAAGATATTGAAATTTCACGAACTCCGTCTAATTTGTGTTCCCATCACTTCAATTTCAGTATTGCAATTTCTTTCTTCTGACTAACATTACATTCAAATTACCACGCAAACTTCAAGTAACTCAGAACGCATGCCTACGTTTTATTTCTGATCTAAGAATATACGTCCATGTATCGGAATTTTTTGACAGAACTCGTATGCGTACTCCAAATAAAAGACGGTTACTCCACTCTCTACTTCTTCTTTATAAAGTTTTGAACGGTTTTCATACAACACACATCATAAGTAACTTTACTACTCTTAAACAATCGAGCTTGTGAATTAGCTCTGCTTTGGGTACCAAGTCACAACACGACTTTGTACAGTATATCATTCACCATTACAGCTATCCGAGCCTGAAATCAATTACCAGCGAGTCTAAACATTCAAATACTTACGGTAAATTAAAAAATGAGTTAACCACATGGGTAAGGAATAACGAGATATAGAATGGCGTTAACGTCATCTTCAAACTCCACGCCCGTTAAACACTTGCATTCCGAGCTTGAGTACCGAACCGTTCTTATCGCTGTGAACAGTGATAACTGTGTGACTGAAGAAAATCTGTGAACCAGAGTAAATCTTGTGGTCTGTGGAAACAGTGCCGCTAGTGAGTGCTATGAATTATGTACTATGGGCACTGCTCGGGGAAACTCTTCAGTAATGCTCTAACAACACTAAACAGTGATTATCCCATCCCAGATTTAAACGTATCGATACTGTACCAAGAAGTAACGGAAACTACCAGTAACGACGTTACATCAATGGAATCTCTACCAAGCCAAACAACAATGGAACCTCAACCAAATCAACAGACTTCAATGAGACTGCAAAACCCGAGCTCTCCACAAGGTAACGCTACAGGCCACGTGCCGCAGGGCAAACTTTAAAGCGTCCTTCTGGCGATAGCAACTCGGCTAATGAGACAAAAAGGTGTAACTTACAATCAAAAGAAGACAAAATAGACACTTCAATTCAATGTCGTTATTAGGTCCCTATTTGAAATAGACTTGAGACACTGATCAGTGGAGCGGATCCCAGCATTCAAAATAGGTTTATTTACGTCAATGAAACCTCACTAAGTGTGTCAGAATCAGTAAAAATCCCGCCCATTTATGTAGCAAATATAACAAACAATACGAAGAAGATTAATAGCAAAGTAACAACCAGCTTTACACTTCAATTTATAAATAATAGGGTAACAATAAAACCAGAAAAAAACACTGACTGAATGTTACAAGTTAATACGATTACCATACTCAATTGGAATGCAAATGGAATAATCAATAAAACCAATGAACTGAAATTTTTCATGCAAGATATGAAAAAATACTTTGCTTGCATAACAGAAAAATTTAAATAATAGAACACAATTCAGCATACCAGATTACAAAGCAATCAGAACAGATAGACCAAATACTAATAGAGGAGGTGTATGATACTAATTAAGAGCACAATATCATGTTGCCAGATAATCTTACCAACAACCCCGGGTATTGAAATAGCAGCAATTAAGTTCATTACTAACAACAATCTGGAAACAACACTCACAGTAGCATAGAGGCCCTCCCAACACGAGAATCCAACATACCAATCTCATTGGTATTATTGATCAACTTGTGAAAAAAGTTTGAGGCGTCATGAAAAATCCCCCAAAATATAAATATTCGTTTCAAACCTAAAAGGTATCGAGTTCCTATAAATTGATCGTCATATCAATTTTTGGAAAAATCTGTTTAATGCATTTGCCAGTAGCATTGGCCACAGAAGTTTTGGCATTATTAATTTTGAGGTATCAAGGACTCGCACAACAAAGATTCTGACTGCACAACGTGGCTGAAGTAGTGCACTACATATGAACAATATATGTATGGATATAAATTAAATGTGAAATAAAATATTTATTTAATTTATATTTGTCAAATTATGAAGCATTAAAGGAGAATTCCGACATCACACTAAACCCTCTCTTGGATGGATATTGGATGAATGGCATAAATGATTCGAAAGTAGAAAATTTTCGGACAGCCACAAATACAAAAGGCGTTTCTTGTTTGTGATTTTTCGCACTGACTGTAATTGTCCAATAGTGCTAGAAACGCCGCCTCTGTCTTCTGATCTCAGCGGAATCGAGAGTGAATTTTCAAATTTTAAACATATAAAACTGTTTTTACTATCGTACACATTATTTAAAATTTGAAAAAAAATGTTATTGAATGTTACAAAGCAAATTGTAGGGAGAAAAACTGAGACAGGTTTGCAACGTCATAATGGCGAAAAACCTTTTCTATATTTTTCCATTTGAATTTGGCGTTTTGGAATTTGGAATTCGTTCTCAAAATACCTTCCAATACAACTATTTTCTTGTGTTTCTTTATTTTTCCAGCCTGATACATGCAATATAATCTGAGAAAAATAAACTAATGGTGCTACAGAACGACACAGACTTCCCCGAATTAGTTTTCTATTTCCTTTCGTCGCAGATAGCCATTCGAACTTGCCACACCCTTGGCAATGTTGCTGTTGCAATCTATCGCCGCCAAATTTTTTTTTTTTAATTTTCTTCATTTTTCGGCTTCCCAATTATAAACGAAAATATTTTAAGGATATTAAAGAACAGTAAAACCTTGTCCTAATGGCAATTTTGTTTGAAAAATTTTGAGCCGTGCTTAAGAAAATGTCACTTATGGGCAACCGTTTCGAAATGTGAAGCTCTTTTTACAGACAATTTTTGAGGTTTGGAAAAACTTAATTTGTAGTCATTTAAAGCATATTTCTTCACAAATACAATAGTAATTACAAATTATTGGAAATGTGCATATTATTGGCTTGAGAGATCTTCCAAAAAAAATTGTGTACTTTTTAAGAAAAACAAAAGAATAAAGCAATATGGCGTTTACGTCACTTCCAAGAGTGCAAATTCCCTACTAAAAGTTTAAAAAAATTTGAGCCGTTAATGTGCAAATTTTGTTATTGTATTTTTTAAATTGCAAACATTGCACGTAATATTGTGCTAAAATTACTCAATTATTCAAAAAATGTACATGAAATTAATGAAAAAATAAATTATGGACGGCTCTATCTTTAATTGTGTAGTTGTAGGAAAAGAACAAAAAAATTCAAACGTTTGAAATTTTCGAAAATTTACATTTAACCGTGGAAATCAGATCTATGCCACCTTAGTAAGTGTATTTTACTCTATTCTTACAATAACTTTAAAGACAAAATTTGTAGCCGTTGTTAAGAAAGTGTTATAAATGTCTCAGGGGATTCATGTAACATACCCCCATAAACTAAAGAACTATTTTCAAAATCGGAGATCTTTGACTCAGGCCAAATAGACAATCCCACAAGACTCCAATCCAAAAAAATCTTCTGCATTGTTTAGACGCTAGTGTTGATCATATACACCAGACGGACGGACGTTTTGAACAAAAAACAATACATTTTCGACTCCAAAACAAGAGAAGAGTGTTAGAAGAACGGCTTTTAGAGTGCAGGACTAGAAAGTACAGCGAACATGTAACAAATGCGTATCAATGTGCATGGTAAATATGAAAATGTGGTAAATCTACAATAGCTTGCCATCAAAACAGAAAGCCATTTCCCTGATAGAACCTCTTTATTTGAGGAATGTACTGGTTAAAATTCTCGTCATGATCGTCGCTGAATGCAACGAGATTTTCATGTGTTTGATGGGTTTTTGACATGTGTATTATCATGGACATAGATCATTTAAAAACTGCTGTGTAAACAATTGATTGATTGGTTAGTTGGTTGTTAGTAATTCGGAGTGAGTGAACTACCTAATTCATTAGTCCCGTAAGTGTAGTGCATAATTTCCTTCAAGCAGTGGCAGTGATATTTCAATCCAACATCATGGCTGGATGTCAAGATCTGGCTCCGTCCTAGCATCCCTCAACTACGTAACTCAATCCCTCAACTACGTAACTCCCACCTGCACCGCCCCAGCCGGGACAAGCTCTCAACTCCCGACCGGTCTCCCGGGATGTGTGGTAGTGAAGTGACTGTTAGTATAAGTGTGTGTAAGGGGGAGAGGATAGGACAAGAAAGAGGAAGGACAGATCGCGCGCGAGGGCACTAGAGGGTTTGAAAAAGGGAGGTTTTTTTTAGCAATTCTTCCACAATATCTGGGTATCTATTTTATGAACGCTTCAAAATCTTCAGTCACTTGAAAGAAAGGGGTGGGGGTGATATGGGAA